AAATACAGGCGTGCCCTTTCCCCCAAGTGATTAGGGGGAAAGGACCCAACCACTTGTCAGTGAGGTTATCTTTGTACAGTACCTTAGCCTTCACAGGGACAGTTTCGGAGATATTAAAGTGCCTCTCTACAGCAGTTTTGCAAGTGGGAAAGGTATTGTCCTCTAAGCGATTTAAAAAATTTAAAACATAAAGCGCTTTATCCAAGCGTTCTTGGGGAGAAAGGTCGGAACTCCCCCTTTTTTGTTTTAAAAGTAAATTTTTAAGCGTCTGATGCGCACGTTCTACGATTCCCTGACCTGTGGGATTATGGGGGATCCCGGTGATGTGGGAAACCCCCCAGGCAGCAAAAAAGCTTTCTGTGGCTTTTGCAACGTACGAGGGACCGTTGTCGGTTTTAATCTGTTTCGGAACCCCCATACGCGCGAAGGCAGCAAGAAAGTGTTTTCGGACATCACGACATTTTTCACCAGAGTGTGCAGTGGCAACAATGAATTTAGAAAACGTGTCAATGGAAACATGAACGAATTTTAATTTTCCGAATTCATTAATATGTGTAACATCAGACTGCCAAATTTCGAGGGGAGAAAGACCCCTGGGGTTTGTCCCTTCAGGTCGAAGTGGTGCCACTGCTTGACAATCGGGACAGGATTTTATGATGTCTTTAGCTTGGGACAATGGGATGCCAAATTGTTTATGTAATGCTTTAGCATTTTGATGAAAGAAGTCGTGAGTCATGCGTGCTTGTTGAAATAAATTTGGAACGGTAACGTTACCTGCTAAGGAATCGGCACGCTGATTGCCTTCAGCCACAGGTCCAGGAAGTGCAGTGTGCGATCTGACGTGTGTAATAAAGAAAGGATGGTTTCTGTGTTTAATAAAGAAAAACAAACGAGTTAACAACCTAAATAACAAAGGGTGAGAAACGTGTTTGAGATAGGAATTTTCTATTCTTGAAACCAATCCTACAACGTAAGAAGAATCTGAAACTATATTTAGAGGTTCATCTTGAAAAAGAAAGAAAGCCCTGGTTACAGCAGAGAGTTCCACTAATTGTGGGGAGCCTTCAGCATGGTGGATATCCTGTTGCCACAGTTGATTTTCAAGCCAGACGACTACTGCATTGCCAGTGCGTCCTGAGCCATCCGTGAAGACGGTTCTGGCCCTTGGTAAGGGGACAGGAGAGTGCATAACCTGGAGAGTTAAAGGAATAGGTAGTAGCCGTTGTAGTAAAGGACAGGCAGGGAGATGGAATTTTATTTGTCCAGTGAAATTGGCGCTGGCAAATTGGAAGTCCACAGAGTATAAAAGGAGCTGATGGTACTGTTCTGCTGTAACTGGGAGAAAAAGAAAATCGGGATCATGGCCCATCAATTCGATACACCTGGAGCGACCTTTAAGGAAAAGTTTAGAGATAAGTTCAGGGAAACTGGTTACTGTTTTGGAGAACTGGTGAGGGAGGAAAAACCATTCCCACAGGCAAAAGTGCGTGTTGTTAGTATGAAACTGTCCCAGGACAGCCAAGGGCTGTTTCTCTCCTAGGGCGATAACGAAAGATACAGGGATGTGAGGGAGCATCCGATGTGCTTGGCACGATGAAATTTTCTGTTGGACGATGGAGAGTGCAGATTGCGCATCAAGGGTTAAGGATCTGGGGGAGCTGAGGTCTGGGTCTCCCTTTAAGATGTTAAACAAGGGACTCAGGTCCTCCGTACTTATGCCAATTAAAGGTCGAAGCCAATTGATTGCTCCTAAAAGTTTTTGGAGATCATTTAAGGATTTAATTTCAGACCGAATTTGAATTGGTTGTGGAAAAAAGGTGGAATCGGTGATATGTAAACCTAAAAACTTCCATGGTGCTGAAAACTGAATTTTTTGTTTAGAGATGGCCAATCCATTAGAATTTAGGGTTGATATTAGAGAATCAGTTACCTCACTTAAAAGAGGCTTGTTAGGAGCGCAAATGAGAATGTCGTCCATGTAATGGAGTAAAATAACCTTTGGGAACTGCGATCGAATTGGTAAAAGAACTTGTGACACAAATAATTGGCATAAAGTAGGAGAGTTTTTCATCCCTTGTGGAAGAACCCTCCATTGAAACCTCCTATGGGGTTGGGATAGATTGAGGGAAGGAACAGAAAATGCAAATTTAGGGCAGTCAACTGGGTTAAGGAAAATATGAAAGAAACAGTCTTTTATATCTACCACTACCATGGGCCACCCAGCGGGGAGCATAGATGGTGAAGGCATCCCTTGCTGGAGGGCACCCATGGGTTCTAAGACATCATTAACCCTGCGGAGATCTTGGAGAAGCCTCCAAGATCCCGAGGACTTTCTAATAACAAAAACAGGAGTGTTCCAGGGGCTAGTAGAAGTTTCAATGTGACCCAAAGCTAGTTGTTCATCGACGAGATTATTCAATGCCTGCAGCTTCTCGGCGGTCAAGGGCCACTGGTCTACCCAGACTGGATCTGAGGTGGTCCAGACCAGCGGGGGAAGCTGCAGCTCCCCAGTGACCCCTGTTAAAAAACCGATGTGAGTTTTATTCCCCATTGTACCATGACATCCCTTCCCCACAACGTGAGGGGGATGTCGAGAATAAAAGGACATACTGAAGCTGATTGTTGTTCTGGTCCTGTGATGCGTACAACCATATTACTCTGTAATGGAAATTGTGAGCCCCCCACCCCGCTGATGTTAATTAGTGTGGGGTTTAGAGGCCAGGTGGAAGGCCAGTCTTTTTTAGCTATTATAGTAACGTCAGCACCTGTATCCATAAGGCCTGTCACTTCCACGCGTGATGGACTTGTGATATCTGAAGAAGATAAACAACACGTTAAAAGTGGTCGGGATGTAATTGACTGGGTCCAATACACCTGAGGCGTTGCTTCTGATAAGGCAGTAAAGGAAATTAGCTGAGCAATCGGTTCGTCATTGGTTACATGAACAGGGGGAGAAGAAACATTAACTGAAATAGAGAAAACATCCGTTTTTAAAATCATACATAACACAGGAACAATAAAGATACCTTTGGCTATCCCGGATTGGGTAGAGATAACTAAATAAACATCATTGTAAGGTAACATAGAGGAAGGAACAACATCAATTAATTGTGCTTCGTTTAACAAAATAGTGGAAGGAGAGGAGGGGAATAACTGAATCCAGGGTAACATATCAGAGGGAGGGGAAGATGATTGTTCATCTAAGCCATTGAGAACCGTTTCTGATTCATTGGGGAATTTGGTGTCGGAGCGCCCCCCCTGGCGCTCTGCTGGAAGTTTCCCGACTGATGTAAATTGTCCTGTGATTTAAAGGAGACCTTGCGCTGCAAATTGGGTGTTTTAGGTGGCAAGGGATTGCCATAGACATCAGTAACAGATTTACAGTCTTTTGTCCAATGGCGTCCCTTGCCGCAGCGCAGGCATGGGGTTTTGGGTAAAGCAGGGGTAGATTTGTTCTGGAGTTCAGGGCACTGTTTCATCACGTGGCCCTTCTGCTTACAATGGAAACAACGATTTGGACCAGAAAGAGCGGCAGCTAGGAGGTTAGCTTTGTGAGTGTTTGAATTAATGTTTCTGCAGGCTTCGATCATATCTATGATCGTGGGGTTTTTAAGCAATATCAAAGCTTTCCGGCACTCCTGATTAGCATTCTCGATAGCAAGTTTTTGAAATAAAATGTCTTGAGACTCCTTTTGGGAAACCTGTTTAACGATTGCCTCTTTGAGGCGGGAGATAAAGTCAATGAATGGTTCGTCTTGTCCCTGTTGGATTAGGGTAAATGAAGGAGTGGTGGTATATGCATCCGCTACTTTTTTAATTGCTTGTAAACCCAAATCCTGGGAGATTTGGAGATATTCCCTTCTAATTCCGATTTGCTGTCGCTTGTCGGTAAAGGGGCCTTCCCCAAACATAACATTAATTAGGTGATCTGTAGGGGCCTTGCGCTTAGGTAATTTTTCGTTAACATGTTTAACGATTAAATTCTTCCACTCACTTTCGAAAACCGAGTATTGTATAGTAGTAAGGAGCCCTTTCGCTACTACACGCACATCGTGGGGTATTAATGTATGTACCTGGAACAAGGTATCTAAAAGTCCCAGTGTGAAAGGAGCTCCGAGTCCATAGTCTGTGACTGCTTTTTTAATGTCCCGCAAAATTGGATAGGAAATAGGAAACCATTCCGGAGCTGTGTTGGGATTGTCATAAAACACGGGAAATGCCCGCAGAAATTCCGTATCCCCTGCCTGCATAGCTTGGGCCTTGCAGGCCTTCCAGATATCAGGGGTTTGTAGGTTACCGGAGTGGTGGGCCCGGTGTTTACCATGGGCGCCGCCATCTTTGCGGGAGCAAGTCACGCGTGAGAAAACAACGTCGCGTCCGGATAGTGCGTCATTACAAGAGGACGTCGATGACGTTAGGGAAGAGGTGGAGCTACTAGAGGAGGGCGTGGCCAGGGGACTACGAGGGTGCCTCCCATTCCCGACGTCACGGCCGCGCGCTTTTTCCATTTCCCGCGCGGCGCGTTCCCCCCGCCCCTTAGCTTTTCGCGCCACCCGTTGACTCCTCCCTTCTCCCTCAGCCGCGTCGTCATCTTGCGCCCAGGAACAAGAAGGTCCCAAATCAAGGTGTCCCCCGCCATTTTGAGCGCGCCGCGGTGATGTATCACGCGGCTTGGAATTCTTAATCTTCATCCGGCTCTGTAGAGCCGTCAGAACAAGCCTCCACGCAATTAGCGCTTCACCAGCCGTAGAATCTCCTCGCTCTTTTTCCACCCAGAGGGAAAAACCAATTTTGTCCCAGTCTTTGACGTTAAGCACCTCCGGGACTTGCTCGCCTTTTAAATGCAACCACTTAGCCAGGGTCTTTAACGCTCTTTTGTCGACGGGATGGCTTGTCGGCAGTTGTGCGAGCATGGCCTTTAAGTGGTGGTAAATAGCTTTCTGCGGTGCCGAGAGACGGGCTCCCATGGTGTTAAAGTTGCACACACAGAGGTTGCGGGGATGAGAATCGGGGAAGGAGGGAAGGGACTTCCTCAGCTGCTCACCTGGCTCCGCGCAGCAGAACGAGGTGCGTTTGAGACCGCCGGTCACCGACCCGTTGCTCGCCGTCCAGCTGAGGGTGACTGCCGGGGAGGACGCCTCCAGCCGCTGCGCCTCCAGTATCCCAGCCGGGCACTCTGGAGTTTCCTCAATGTGAGGAACCTGCTACAGAGCCCTGCGCGTGGGCGCCATATGCCGCAGCCCGAGTGGGAAAGGACTGACAGCACTCAGGGGGTTCGCAGTCTGCAGCAGGTTTATTGATGGTGCAGGAGGCGTGAGGGCGCTTCCTGGCGCTGAGCCGCGAGGGTGCTGCCCAGAACAAAGGGCGAACAGGACTTATATAGGGTTAAGGAAGGAAGGGTCTAGAAACTGGGAGGAGTATGTGATTGACATAAGGGGAGAACCAATAAGGGAGTAACAGAGGGAATACATTAACTTTTAACCTATAGGATGATCTGGGGGGTGTGGTGAGACCGCCTTACTGCGGCAAAATCCCACCAATCATAACTGGGGATTCAACAGCCAATCAGGGGAAAGGGTTCATGAGGGAAAACTTATAAGGGAATAAAATATGAATTTACAACTGGGGTACAATGGTTTTAACATGCATTAACATTACTAATGGGGGTGAAACAACATTGTCCATGTCAAGCAGGTTCAAAGGTCTGTTCACAGATGTCCATTCCAGTGTGTAAGTCCATAGTTTTAAACTTCATCTTCATTATGTTCTTTGTAGATCTGTCTCCACTTGTGGTATAGTCTCTGTTTCTGTTTGGTGCCTTCCACATCTTCAGACTCCCTAGCCTCTGACATTCATCTGGAAATCACAGTAAATGTAACCCCAGTGTTTTGTTTCATTTTACAGTGACAAAGATCTATACATCCAATGTGGCAATGGAAAATGTTATGATACATAATTATCCTGAGTGCCACAGCAATTTACAGACTAGATTTGCGTGACTTAAAGGGAAGGCATCAAAGAGTGTGAAACAGAAACAAAAAGCATACCAGCTGCAACCCAATCTGGTTTTTAAACAGCACCACGGTGTTATTTACATAAACTTTAATTGAGTTTCAACAAAACTGCATGAGAGCACAAAGAAATGCCCAGTCTTATAAACACTGACATCAGTGAGACCTACTGTGGACCAGCAACTGATCTTCAAATGACTATATTTACCATATGGTAGCTTATATGGTAGATATGGAGCACTCTATTTCACTTTTGGATTGTATGCATGACATTTTGAAATATTTAAACTCTGAGGGAAAAAAAATAAAACATGATGATGTAAAATGTTCTCTCCCATGTCAGGTTAAGAGTAGTTCTTTTGGTTCTGTTTAGTTGAGACATGGACTACTTCTAAAGTCTGTAAAACAAATATATATATATATATATATATATATATTCAATTTAGTTTTACTGCAGCTTTAACAACTCCCAGCTGGCAATCCGTATGAGTCTCTAACATAATGTTCTCTCTTCTCTATGTAGACAATTATTCTTCCTTAAAGTACCTACAGTGTGTGTTTGTATATGGTATATTTAGCCTTAAACTTGCTGAATTTAGTATTTTATGTTCTTACACACTTCAGTAGGTTGAATGTGTCCTAGATTTACAGAGCTGTGTTGCTTTTTTCATGTGGTTTTTATTATTTTTTCAAAAGATAAAATCTTTTAATAGATCTTAAAATATAGTATTCATCAGTGGCTGCAATTCAAAATATTTTTCTAAGCATTCTACTTCAATGAGACCTTCAAAATCAGTCCAGTTTTTCCCAGGCAGACCTCTTCAAGAATATACATTATTTTATATCTCATTCAGTCAAACTTGAACTAATATATTGCTTTGTTTCATGTTGCACCATATGCTTATTTGTTGTGACCTTATATTTTGTTAACACTTCACTAATCACCGTCATCTTTAAATTCCATGTTCTGTCTGTACTTGTTGTGGACCTTCATGGTTTTACTACAAATGTTTGGTTTAATTGTGCTTAATCATAAAATACTTATTTTAGCTTTTTACCTGAAAATGGGTATTAAACTATATTTAACATTTTTGTGTATGTTTGCCAGTTTGCTAAAGCTATCCATAAATAATCTTAAGAAAGTTTTAAATCCATAAAGCAGCAAACTGTATCTGATCGTGCTTGTGTGGTTTCTCTATTCATAGAGAAGTCTACACAAAAGTGCAACGTAAAGTAGAAACCCCAGACTGCAGACTTTAACCACCTACCATATACAGCAACAGTATGAGTTGATCACAAGCCTCCTTACAGATACAATAATCTCAAGAGACTAATGCAGGTGAACGCTCTTCATTCAAAGTAGGATTTCAGGATATTTTCTTAGTACTTCTTAATTATAACTAAGGCTCTGCAGTGTGTAAAGTTGTGCCTGATGCCAGAAACTGATGGAAGATTTACATTACCCTCAGGAGCTGGCAGCTCACTGAAGTCTCCTGGAAACTCCAAGATGCTAAGTAAGCATTAGTGAACTGAGAACACAGGGGCTATATCCTGTGCAACTGTTTGACATGTAAGGCAAAGTATCTGGGCCATAGTGGATATCAAAATATGTTTTTCAAATCAATGGTTTTCAAACCAAGAAAATGTTGACAAAATAACTTATTAAATCTACAAAAATCCACCTTATAGTTCTGATGTAAATGTAGCTGAACAAGCCATATCACTACTCTTTTTGTTAATCAAATTTACTTCTCAAAGCTTGTCTCTGGATGTTAATCTTGACAGGACCATTTTATTACTGACCTGATCTTATTAGGTGTAAGCAATTAAAGGACTAATTGTGAATCAGTCTACTATGTCAGTATTCTCATCTTACATTTAAAGAAGTAATTTACCAAAATTGTACCTTAAGAAACAGTTACACTGACAGAAGCAGAGCACATGAATTCAGTAGCATAATCTGAATAACTATTGCACAACAGAATTCCAGTGCTTGAAAAAAACAAACGTGTTCATATGTGTACACACAGAAGATTCAGGAGCACATGTAACACTGCACCCACTATAGCCAATTGGTTTCCCAAAATAATTCACAAATCGAAGTTCCATGAAGAAAAGTGAGAAACCACTGTTCCTATAAGATCCAAGCATCAGAAGGTCCGGTAAGACACAGGACTGTGTTAGAATTTGACGCAGCATAACTGTAAAGAGCTTGGTTTTGTCCCACAAAGTATGAGAATACCTGTCATATATTACTCTGTATAAAATTGAAGGGCCTACAGAACATCTGAATGTGTAGTTTTTACTGAAATTTCTATCTAAAAGTATAAATGAAGAATTATAACTCCCAAAGCCAAAAGTGTTATTAATTAATTTCTATTTTCTGGTTTTGTATTCTGCAAATAGTGTTCCCAGTGTGTGTCAGGCCATTAACTATTTTTTCACAACTCTGATAGGATTTTTTTTTTCATCAGTGCCATGAAAATATTGTTTCTTATACTATTTTTTGTCTGACTTAAATTTTTCTTTTATCTTAGCTTTTCTATACATCATGAAATTGAATTTAAAAGTAAAAAGTTTAGGTAAAAATATGGAAAACAACTAGTAAACTTGGTACAATTTTGTTTCAATGGATTTTCTCTTAGCTAACTATGAAAAAAAAATTATCAATTCCAGATGGAAAGCTTAAAATTATCTTTTTTTTTTCTTTTTTACATGAAACTAAATCATTTGATATGTTAGTTCTATCAACTACTCTTGCATCTATTTACTGTATTTATGAGCACAGGTGTTTGTATGACTTCAATTCCATGAATGAACCATTCTTATTACTATTTTTAATATCAGTCCAGATGTCTGAATTCCTGTAATGATCAATATAACGATTATTACTTCCCTCATCATTCTGATTTTTCCCTCATTAGAAATTCAGTGATTCTTCATGGGTCTTTTTACGCTACATAGCTTATTCCTATGTTCACAACCATCATAGTTTGCTAAGCTGAAAGTTATATCCTCCAATATTTAAATTACATCTAGTTCACTGTATCATTAAACTTAGACAGATTTGAACTGTAAATGGTGTGATTCAACAGAGATAACTAAATACTGTTATAATTGTCAAAGAATTTTAGAAGATTACTTTATATACAAGAATATAATTAAGAGTAATATGTAGAGTAAAAATATAAATTAATATATAAATTTATTCATATGCAGATGGGGTACACGTATAGATTCGTCTTTACAAAGGAGAAGAACCATATTGATCAGGTGAATAGAATTGCAGCTCTATCTTCAATATAACAAATATCTTTGAACAGCTTCACCCATTAACAGTAGTTTTATAATCCTTTCCCAAAGAGAAGATCACAATGAGGTGGTCACTCTGTTAAGGGACTAAGACCACTAAGTTCTTACAACAGTGATTTAAGAATGTTATTTCCTTATGACACATACTAGCTTTGCATGGCCCTTATAGTGCCTAGTATCCACCTTTAGTTTGTGCTGAGAAAAGCCAGAGCGGTATTGTAAAACTAATGATTGATAGCGATCCCATTGCAGCACATCACTGCTGGTTTTTTCCACTCAAAAAGAGATATTGGGCCAGGTGCAGTCAGAGTACCATATGTGCACACACATCTGAAGACAATCTCAAATATTGGCTTAAAAACTACATTGAACTTCATCTTTGGCTAAATCACACAATTGCATCGAGGGAGAAAAAAGTCCTCTTTGCCTTTTCTCAACAAAAAAGTAAACAGTTGCTGCTACTCTGAGGTTATATGACTTCAGAATTTCATTGTTGTTATAAAAATACACAATAGCACAGTTATTACTTTATCCTGAAGTGGTGCCAGGGAAATATTGTTACAATATTTACAGAAGTCTTTACTAGACAGAACAGTTTCTTTTTATTGTTTCTTTCCCTTTTGAACCTTTTAACAACAAAATTTCACTTGCAAAAAGGATCATGTTATGTGGCATTCAAGTTTATACAACTTCTACAAGTCATCCATGGCATGACAATGAAGTTGCTGAAAGGCAGCTGCAACCACTTGAGTCTTGTTTTACATACAACTAGCTTTTGGTGAAATGAGGTATTTCAAGTTGCCAAATACATCAGCTCCTAATCTTTCTCTGAATTGTCCACTTCTAGGAAGAGATGTAATCTTAAGATTATTTCTTAAACTCCCTGGTGGGTATGTTTCTCAAATTTTAAGACTTTTTTTGC